CATACATGGCAGAGGCGAGCAATCATGACCCCGGCCCTCACACATTTCCTCGCAGCCTCGCTGGCGGCGATGCGGCGCCCGCCCTCGATAGGTCTCCACCCTCTTTCTCCGGCTGCGAAGTCTCTTGCGACGGGCGGCGCCCGAGCGGGCCGGTCTGATCCGGGCAACATCGCGGCTCTTGTTGGCCTCGTTTGCGGTCACGCGGCTGCTCAACTTCCCGCTCTGCACGGCGCTCATCTGGGCCAGGCCCGCGGCCGGTGCTCTGCCCTGTCGGAGCAGCCCCCGTCAGGCGCTGAGCGCAGCTCCTGCCCCGCCAGACGCGACGTGCTGCGGCCCGCCATCTTGAAGCTGCACCTCGCCTTCGCCGCCGCCGGAATCACGCTCAACGCAGGCTGGTTCGTCGCGCTGCTCCGCAGCGCCAGCAGAGAGGCGGGCAGCGGCCGCCGCCGCGTCGCCCCTGCCTCGGAGGGCTAGGACTCGCCGGCGACTGGACTCCCCACGCCGGATTTTTATATAGCAGCTCCTCTCTACCGAGAGCTGTCTTTCTCGCCCGAGGCTCGCCGTGGCCCCACACGGCAGCCTCTGCTCGCGTTTTCGAGCCAGGACCTTCGTCCGGGCCCATGGCCGGCACGCCATCGTCGATTCCACGCGCTCGGCTCCACCGGCTTGCTGTGCGGACGGCTTCTTGTCGCTCTCGTCGAGAGCGTTTTGGCGGCCCGGCGGGTGTGAGAATCTGTGTCGTCTGATGTGTCACTGTGTACGTCACATCGGTCTTGATAACAAGCACGGTCAATCCGTCGAAGCGATACACTCGTTCGCTATCTCGCTGGAGGGCTGGCACGGAGCTCTGTGCCGACAAACAGGAAGAGCCGAGCGGCAAGAAGGGCTCGATGGGGAGCGAGAAGCGTCAGAAGAGCTTCAGGAGTGACCTGAAGTCCGTCGTGACGCTCTTATTTCCCCCCAGGTTTGACCGCGCAGCTTTCAAAATTCGACGATATCTTCCGGAAAGACTGAACTTCCCGCAGCTCGGCAGCATGAGAGGCGCAGAGAGGCTGCGAGCGCTCGACGAGTCTGCGAGCTGCGCGTCT